CAAATATTATGTAAATTAGTTTCTTAGAGTTGTCCTATATAATAATATTTGTATTGATTTAAAACATGGACTTCAATCTGCTGAGAAATCTCTTTCGTGATACAAACCACAAAAAACAGCTTGAATTTTCGTGTCTTTTTTCTTAAAGAAAAAAAAAAAAGGTTCTAAGCTCATTTACAACCCTCTCCTCCAGAAAGCATTTTTTAACATAATTTCCTTGACCTCAGCATAAATGAATTCCTGTTTGGGCTCAGCATAAACAACACCTAAATAATTGATATCAATCCCCGAGCAAGCTGAATAAATAAGGCTGCATGCTTCAAAGAACGACCGAGGCAGTGCTGGTTATCAGTAAACATTTTTTTTTTCAATGTGTAGAATTAGTAATTTACACAAAGACAGAGAGGAAATTGAAAGGAATGGTCAAGTTTGAAATCTGAAAAATTAGATGATATATTCTCTGTTGATCATAATTAATGAAAGGAAGGATTAAAAGATAAAAATATTCAGTCCTTGCAAAATCTTTTTAGTTAACCAAAAGGTTTTTACACTTTATGAGCGCCTTTAGGCGCTTCCCTTCTTTTATGTTGTTAACAACCTATAAAAAAGGAGACTATATTCATACACTTTAAATATTAAAGCCAAAAACCTCAATACATTTCATAGATTAAAAGTTAAGGCAAAGTTCAGAAGAGTTAAAAGTATATATGTTCTAAACATATTTTACAGGTTAAATTGGAAAAGTGCGCAGTAAATTTGTTTAATTCATCCCCTTTATACATATATAGTACGGTATATATATATAGTGGTGGTAGGATCATGTTGTGGGGATGCTCTCCATTAGAGAGAGAAGCTAATCCTAGTTAATCAAGAATCTGGATGGAGATGGGTAATGGTCGGCTAATACATACAAAAAAGAAAGAAAAAAGAAAAAACAGACTTCAAAATATAAAGCCAAGCTGCTAATGGAAGACTGAGATCAAAGCTTGTTCAAATGTTAGTGGTTCAATAAAAGTACAGACTCAACTAAGAATCTGTGGAGAGACATTAAATTGATGTTCATAGACACTCTCCATCCGATTAGAAATAGGTCTGCGCTATTTTTGCAAATAGGAACAAGGAAATATATTCTCTAGAGGTACAAAGCTTGTAAATTTACCTCAAAGGGCCTAAGGGGCTAAAATTGCAGCAAAAGGAGGTTACATTAAACTGTAAGCTGTAAACCATGCATCATTTAGATCCTGCTTGAAAATAATGAGTGACTTCTCCCTCCCATTGCAATACCCCTAAGATTGTGGTACTAATCCCTCGGAAAATTGAGATTTTTGAACTGTAGTGGGAATCTTTCTTTATCTTATGAATTGTCTTTAGATTCAGCCTAATATTTTTCTATTTATTCATCCTCAGAAAAAAAAAAAAAAAAAGCTGGAAGCTGACCTCTTCAAGGACACGAGAGGGAAGCCTTCTTTCAGATGGACCTCCCACAACGTTTACACGAACCAATATGTGATTCCTCTCCACTGACAGACTGTCAATGATGATCACCCTGAGAAGAAAAGAAAGTTTTTATTTTAAACAGCTAACACATTTTTTTTTTTTTTTTTTTTTTTTAAGAAAAATGCTCAATAGGGCAAAAGTGCTCTTTAATGGACAAATAATAAAACATTTCAGGGACCATATAATATTTTTCATTTAATGAATATAAAAATGCAGCAATAGTAAGAATGTATAGCAGAATAAAAAGACTATTTTAAAACCAGTTTATACATTTTATTTGCAACAAGTGACATAAAAGCTTTTCCACAGAGATTGTAGGAACATTTGAACGTGTGGAAGTTCAAATATAGAGAGTTAGGTTGTTTAAACTTAAGCTAAGATCAGAAAATTTCCAATTACAAGGACTGAACGACATAAGTCTTGCTAGATAGTCCATTTAGGACTAGCACTTGGAATTTGAGAAACTAATCAAAAGGACTATTTTGTCTACGGCTGTCTTTCAAAGTCCAAATTGCTCAAAAATGCTGTATGCTTTTGCTTTAATGGAAGAAAAAAAATGCTTTAAATGTGAATTTCGGAGCCATTAATGTTGACAATGCCAGAGATAAAATGAGAGAATGGGCAGGAAATAACAAAAAATGGGTTAAACCAAAGGTTAGCAACCAAAACACAGTCAGGATGACAGAGAGCTGGAAAAAAAAAGGCGAACAGAATAGAGGCTGATGTCAAGCATTACCACAAAAACAGGAGAGAAATAAATAGCAGGAAATGGAAACATAAATGAACCGGTCATTATTCTCTAAAGCAGAGTGAGCACTCAAACATGACATGTGAGCGAGCTCTTCAGGGCCATCTTAACCAATAGTAATAATGGTGTCTGCCATTACCAAAACACAAGAGCTCTTAAAGAAACACTTTGGAAAAAATCTCCTTTTATTTTTAAATAAACAGCAGTTGGCTGCCATTGTGTGGCTCCCAGGGAGCCATGTGGGGTTAAGGGTCTTACTCAGGGACCCAGAGTGCAGTGGTGATTGAACCGGGTATTTGCAACCTTCTCATAGCACAACCCCACTGCTCTGACCACTAGGCCAACACTCAAAAAATATAATTTCTTTTAATTTCATTCTATTAGTGAAAAGTCTATAATAAGGATTAATTAAATTAAACACTTAAGACTTTAAAAAATACAATAATAGTCCTACTTACAAACTTCATGTTTTCACTGATGCCTATATTTTTCATGGATGTAGGCAGTGGTGGAAACTACATTTACTTGATTACTTGTTTAATATTTCTTCTTCTTTAATATTTTTTGGTGTAGCTACTTATAACTTTCACTCTACTACATTTTAAAGTCAGTTATTGTACCTTCTACGCCATAACATTTCTAGGAAGCTAGTCGTGACTCGTTCCTTTTGGCTCAGCTTAGCTTTGTAATCTGCTGCTGCTGTTTCTCTTTCTTGATTGATTGAATTTGGACACCACTGTTTTAGAGATTTGGGGTGGTTTCTGAAAGTTACAAGGTTCATTAAATTGACTCTGAAAATCAAGCATTAATGTATTGAAGTTAGAAAATTTAATTTGAACAACGCATTTAAAAAGTGAGCACTTCAGTACTTTAACTTGAGTAGATCTTTGGCTGAGAAACTTTAATTGTAGCTGAGTAAGTTCTGACCATCTGCATCAATACTTTTCGTACAGTAGTATAGGTGAGCACTTCATCCACCACTGGATGTAGGTCCTATTTTCTATAGAAATAACCCAAGCCCTCCTGCAATCTATTTAAAGTCGTAGAGAAATGGCTGTTCCAACCGTTGCATTTCTGAATTCTCCCACGTGGTGCCCAACTTTACACGAGAGAACAAAGTGAATGTGATTGGTCGTTTATCAAGGGGGTGGTTGTGGCCGGTGTCTCCAAAGCATCTTGCTAACCAGTTAGCAACTTAGTGCTAGTAGGTTCCCAATGGGAAATTCCATTGGGACCAAGTAGCACTAAATTGCTAACCAGTTAGCAACTTAGTGCTAGTAGGTTCCCAATGGGAAATTCCATTGGGACCAAGTAGCACCAAATTGGTGACTTAGAAACGACACTGTCAAGGAACGCTATGGACAGAGGAAACATCCAAGAGGAGGAGAGTTTTGTGTTGGAGGTCGTGGATGAGTCTACTCATCATACAGTTTTTATTTAGAGGAGGAAAGCGGGGACGAAGATGTTATGAAAGAGGACGCCAGGGCGGCAGAAGCTTGGTTATGTGTAGAAGGCTTACAGCCGTACATGTTGAGCCCTTGCCTTGCAATGCGGCCAGTTCTGTTAGCTATACGCCTGCTGAAGACACAGACGTCCATCCCTGTGAACACTGGGACATAACTCAATGGGAAAGTAAATAAAGAATCTTATTTCTTATATCAACCGTTGCATATATTAGCTGTGACATATGAATCAAGATGCTATGACTGAAAAAAATAATTGACAGATGATAGTTGATATATGATTGGCCAAATTTAGGTGTACAAGTTGACGTATAACTAACTGGCCTGCATAAAATAACGGGGGGGAAAAAACAGATTTTAAGACAGGATTTTTTTTTTTTTTATAGAAATTTTCTAAATTTTGGGACAATATAGTCTGATAAAGAGTACATTTATATACATGTTTAAGCAAGAATGATTTGACATTTAAATCTGACTTCCCTATGACTTTAAAGCTAGTAGGTAGAAGATCCTAGCCTCGTGAGACCATCCTGATCTCGCAAGCTTTCAAGATTTCGCTCGCTAGTCAGTCTTGAGACTCTCCGTTAAAGAAAATTTGGAGCTGTTCACCAAACGAACGTCCAATCAGCGTTGGCTTTGAGGCGGGTTGAGGTGTGACGCAACGAGAAGCGCGACAGTTCAGTCTAAAGACCATGGCGGCTTCAGCCGATGAAACTAGTGTTAGCGTGGCTATCGAGCAAGTTTTATCGGAATTACAGAGTATTTCTTCACTGAAAGAAGAGCAAAACACTGCTCTGGAGGCTTTTCTCAGAGGAAAATATGTTTTTGCTCTTCTCCCGACTGGTTTCAGCAAGAGTAGCCTGGCTGTTAGTACGTCATATGCTTTGTTGATCTGATTGGTTTATTTGGCCCTTCTATCACCAACATAGGCCAATCAGCTAACCAGTATTTTCGCCCCTTCCCAAAATTACTTCAATGGAAGCTTTCCAGATGGATATGCGGAGCAAATCCATCTGGCGGAGTCAGGTTAAGAAGATCCCATGGTCTGATGAAATCAAGCATTTGGGACAAAACAACACTGGACAGGGTGGTGGTACAGGTATCAGGGCGGTTGCACCTGTACCACCAATCAAGTTAAGGTCCTGGAATCATATATGGACTTCCTGCATGTGTGGGTTCTTTTCGGCTTCCTTCCCACAGTTCAAAACCATGAATGTTAGGTTAATAATCCCTAGACATACAAGATGCGTGAAAGCTAAATTTTTACATACACTCTTGATGCACAAAAAAACTAAAACAACCTGAATTATAACATACCGGTACTCTCAAACATTTAACAGTTTTATTTTCTGAATTAAGAAATTAAATTGAAATAAAGCAGTTTTTAGATTTAACTCAGAATTTATGAGGTAATTTATGATAAATTAATCTGGTTCTCTGTGAAAAAAACTTTCAGTTTAATCTACTGAACATTCATCTTTCAGCGCCCTGTGTTTCTGGCATCGTACCCCTCTGTGGTGTCTTGGTCAGTGACGTTTTCCTTCTGTCTCTGCACCAGCATGGAGCAGATGTTATATTGGCTCTCCAGCAGCAGGAAGGAGTCCAAGCAGCAGCAGAGCACACTGAGCAGTCTGCAACAAAGCACACAAACCATAACAAAGACATGAAATTACGGAGAGGACTGGCAGACCGAGATACAGCAGCAGGACAGAACTACAGAGAATTACATACTTTAATTCAGCACCCGCCACACTGCTGGGCAGAACCACACAGGCAAAGACTCCAGTTGGACTTTTCTTTTGTCCGCTGGTGTTCTGTCTGCAAGTATTTGGTCAGCCAGCCCAGTTTTGACACTCCAGCTTATTAAAGCCAAATTAGGTCTTTGTAAAGTGGGAGCCATCGGGAAAACATTCATGCTTGATTTTCGGTTATTGCTAAAAACAGCCGACTCAAAGAGGCTGATCAGATCCAGCAACATTTTGAAATATTAAAGGAGCAGAAAAGATGGTATAGAGCAAAACATTCTCAGTTTAAGACCAAGACATTTGACCTGGTGGAAGGACATTTATAATAAACCTATGAAATATTCATCACATCCTCCCTTTTGACTGATTTTACTATTACCTTCTATATATGAACTTAGAACTATACTTGTACTATTCTATTGTGCATGACCGGAGTGCTTTGTTTCTTAAAAGAGACTTTTTTTAAACAGACTCTGTGTTTGCTGAAGTTTGGACGGCCTCTTTGATTTCTCTTTGAGTGACAACTCCTCTCGCTTATTTTGGCACCAGAGCATCAAGAGGCAGAGTTTGTCAGGGACTTCTCAGCTTCTATAACAAAAGAACATAACAAAAACAAACCTACAACTCTCCGTTTGAGCTGGATGCTTCAAACTGAAGGGACAGAGTGCTTTAAGGTGCAAAAGTCTGTTTACCATCTCTTTCTTTTAAATATGGACTGTTTTCAGCTGTGTTTTCAGTCTCAAGATCATCTTTTTAATTACTAATGTACTGATTTTAGTAAACTGATGCCCAGTCGACGAGTTCTCACTGGTTCTGCTGGAACTTTCTTGGTATGAGGGGTTAATGTAGGGTCCACAACACGTGCAAAGCATATTTTTAATGTCTTTCCATTCTCAGCCAGGAGGAATAAATGCTATAAAATAAGGACTCAATCCAATTTCCTGGATCACCTTGGGTAAAAAACATTTCAACTGACTTTCTCCAAGCACACTTTAGATTTAGCTTTGTTTTCTTTTTTCTTTTTTTCCATTTAAGCCAAATAAAGAAGTTGAATTGACTGAATTGACTCTAGTGTCTTGAGAAGACATGTCGTGAATAAATTATATAAAAAAAACTGAATTTAAATAAGTGCATGAAGGTGTATTCACTTACTTGAAGTTTTAATTCATTTTAACATTAAAAACCTAAATGTATTCATATCAGAAATAGCCTACCGTATTGCATTGATATTACACTGTGTGCAGAATTATTAGGCAAGTTGTATTTTTGAGGATTATTTTTATTGTTGGGCCACAAATGTGTTCTCAATTGACCAAAAAGACTCCTTAATATCAAAGTTTCATAGTTTTGGAAGTTGATGTAGTTTCTTTTAGATTTGGCCATTTTGAGGATGTCTGTGTGTGCAGGTAAATATTAGGCAACGTAATAAAAGCCAAATATATACCCATCTCAGTTGTTTATTTTCACCAGGTAAACCAATATAACAAATGAAAATTCAGAAAAAAACATTTACGACATTCAAAAACAAATCAGTGACCAATATAGCCACCTTTCTTCACCATGACACTCAAAAGCCTTCCATCCATAGATTCTGTCAGTGTCTTGATCTGTTTGTGATCCACATTGCATGCAGCAGCTGCCACAGCCTCCCAGACACTGTTCAGAGAGCTGTACTGTTTTCCCTCCCTGTAGATCCCACATTTCATGAAGGACCAAAGGTTCTCGATGGGGTTCAGATCTGGTGAACAAGGGGACCATGTCATGTGGGCATGTTTCTCCTTTTCGACTTTTTTTGGACAGCCTCGCTGTGTTGTATATTGATGCATGTGATGGAGCATTGTCCTACATGAATATCATGTTGGTGATGGTGACTTTTTCTTGTACCACTGTTTGAAGAAGGTGTCTTCCAGAAACTGGCAGTAGGTCTGGGTGTTGACCTTGACTCCATCGTCAACCTGAAAAGGTCCCACAAGCTCATCTTTGATGATACCAGCCCATACCAGCACCCCAGCTCCACCTTTCTGGCATCTGAGTCGATATGGAACTTGCTGCCCTTTACTGATCCAGCCTGGTGCCCATCCATCTGGCCTATCAAGACTCACTCTCATTTCATCAGACAAAAACACCTTAGAGAAATCACTCTTCAGATATTTCTTGGCCTAATCTTGACATTTTGTCTTGTTCAAAGGTGGCCTATTTTCAGCTTTCCTTACCTTGGCCAGGTCCCTGAGTATTGAGCACCTCGTGCTTCTCGGCACTCCAGACATGTTGCAGCTCTGAAATATGGCACAACTGGTGGCTAATGGCTTCCTGGCAGGTTCACCTTTGATCTTTCTCAATTCATGGGGAAATTCTTTTTTTTTTTCAACACGCTTCTTGCGCACCTGTTGGCTATTTGCCATGAACCGCTTGATTGTGTGATGATCCTGCTTCAAAAGCTTGGCATTTTCCAAACTGCGTTACCCCTCTGAAAGACAGGCAATTTTTGCCTTTTCAGAGTCTGTCAAATCTCTTTTCTGACCCATTTTGCCAAAGGAAATGAAGTTGCCAAATAATTAAGCAAACCTTATATAGGTTGTTGTTGTCATTAGGCCACACCCCTTCTCATTACCAAGATGCACATCACCTGATTTACTTCATTGGTAGTTTGCTTTCAAGCCTATACAGCTTGGAGTAGGACAACATGTATGAAAAGGATGATGTGATCAAAATACTGATTTGCCTAATAATTCTGCACACAGTGTAGATAATTTTTTTTACTTTTCTTATTTTCACTGTTTTCTGTTGGTGGTGAGGTTTTGGTACCTTAGTTTACTCTCTTATCATAAACAGAACAATGTATAATCTTGTTTCTACACTGTTTCTACAATTCTTATTTCAGAGGATAAAATGTCTCAACTTGAAGTGAACCACAAAAATTACCATCCGTCTCAAAGAGATGATTGTCCTAATGGTCATATTGCCATATATGAGCCCTGCATAAGCAGTTAGTGGAAACCATTAGTAATGTGGGGAGCAGCCTACATGAGTGGGATTGTCATCTAAATGGGTGTTCAGTTTGCTGTGCTCAGCTTGTTATGAAATAAAACAATCTAATACAGCTACATTGTAACAGCGCACTAATGACCATTTATTAATATATTTACACAATCTGCTGCTCATCAGTATAAAGGGTATACCGATAAGACATAAACATTAACGTAAAGCCAGAAAGAACTCCAAAAACAAAAAAAGATATCCACTTCTATGATCAGAATTGAGATAATGGTCTGGAAAATAGTTCATCTTCCTTGTTATGGGCTTTTAGTTTATGAAAAATAGAAGGACAAAGAAGCTGTTTGTGGAGATGAACTGCAGATTTTGATTATTTTCAAATTGAAAGGCAAAAAAATTTATAAATCTTTAAAGATATCCAGATAATATCAAATAAGGGAATTCGTCTAAAACAAAAAGAGCAAATTTGCTTCAAGCGCCTGCTAGAAAATGACAGACGGAGGCCAAGCTAGCTGTGGGGCAGAAGATGGTTGCTAATACAGTAGGTCTCTAACTAAACCTGAACTCAATCTACCACATGTATGAGCAGGTACAAAGAAAGAGAACTGCAGTAAAGGAGAGCAAATAGAAATAGAATCAAATTTAATACTGACAGGAAAAAAAGATAAAACTTAAGTCTGTACTAAATGATGATATGTTAAAAAAGAGTTCAGTTCTCCAACAGTCAATGAAATAGCTTAAGAAAAGCATCAGAATAATAATCAAACTTTGGAAATCAGCAGGAAGAGATCTGGCTGCTTGTCAACAAAGAAGCTTTAAGTGCAGAAGTGGCTCCGGGATTTTAGCCCTCATTAGTTTTTATAAACATCAAGAGATTTGGGGGGTTTGCTGTCTTATTTCCAAGCATTTAGCACTTTAAGAACGCTCAGGCCTGCGTGACAGTAAGTATTGGTTATTAAACCTCAAATGAGCAAAGTCATTTTATTATTAAGGATTTGAAAACTAATGAAACAATGAAAAACCAAAGTTTGTGAATGTGAAAACAAGCAGAATGCTTTTGCTGTTTTTTTAGCCCTCAATGTTTAAATTTTCTATTGTTTCAAATCCAATCATTTAAAGTACCATTTTAAACAAAAAATGCTTCAATAATATAAAAATCTTGGATTTGTTTATGTTGCATGTAGTTAACTGAAATCACAAAGAGCTTAAGCATATATGATTAAACATAAACAATTATGCAAAAGTGACTTTAAAAACTAGAAACTAGAAAAAAAAAACATGCTTTAAGAAGAAATCCATGTGTTGCTGTATAGGTAATGTAATATTGAGATTTAATATTTTTAAAACATCTCAAATTCCAACTGTAAATAGAAAACAAGTTAAGCAGAAAAGGGAATGCCCTCCAGTTTATTGCCAAACATTTCAACAGAAACAGAACAACAAATAGATTTCCCCATGTTCCTTTAAAGGAGGCAGACATTCAGGAGAAAAAAAACACTTCTTCCAACCGCAAAACAACCAGCAGCCGTAATCTATTATTCATTATGTGACATACATGAAATATGAACACCTGAGCACATTACAAGGCCAGGTCTCTCATTTCCTTGTCTACTGAGGGAAGATAATCACAAAAGGTGATAATGTATCTGTGTTGGATCTCAGGTGAGGAAAAGTTATTTAAAAGGCTCCACAGACCAGAGCCATTAATAAAACCTTTGAAGGAATTCACCCTGAAAACTCACAATGAAAACACTTGAGAATAAACAAAGGTAAGGAAAGCAGCATTTTCTTTAAATGCTCTGCTCAGAAGTACATGATTTTGTTTACCTTTCACTACATTTTCTGGCACTGTTTAAATAAGACAAAGTACTTTATAAAACCATTTCTGTCCC